GGAAGCTACGGCTGGTGCAGAATGCTGCGGCCAGGTTGTTGTTGGGTGTCCCGAGTTGGGAGCACATCCGACCTGTGCTGAAAGCGCTGCACTGGCTGCCAATAGCATACCGGATTTGCTTCAAAGTGCTGGTGCTTACCTTTAAAGCCCTACATGGCCAGGGTCCGACTTACCTGAGGGACCGCATTTCCCCATATATTCCCCAAAGAGCACTTCGGTCGGGGTCACAACACCAGCTGGTGACCCCGGGCCCTAAGGAGGCCAAGCTTGCAGCAACAAGTGCCAGGGCTTTCTCAGTGGTGGCTCCTACCTGGTGGAATGAGCTCCCGGAAGAGATCAGGGCCCTGCGGGACCTTGTACAGTTCCGCAGGGCCTGCAAGACGGAGCTCTTCCGCCAGTCTTATGAGTAGGAGCCGCCACGGCCACTTGTACCACTGCCCTTTTACAGAGAGAGACCGTTAGGGTGGTTGGGTAACATCTTTTCAGCACCTGGCCTTCCCCCCCTGCTATACAAGTGAGGAGTTTATAGGTGCATCCATTGTATTGATTTTAATCTGTTTTAACTTTGTAAATTGTATTATATATTTTGTATGTTGATTGCACTCAGTGCCTTATGTGAGCCGCCCTGAGCCCGTTCGCGGGGAGGGCGGGGTATAAATACAATAAATAAATAAATAATAAATGGCAGACCCACTCTTCAGAGCGGATGGTGACAGGTGCGTGGGTGATAAAGGGGAGGCAGGACCATTCTGTGCCCGTTTTGCCCACGTGTTCTCCCAAAACAGGAACTGTGCGCAATCCTTCAAGAGAAGCAATAGTGGTGAAGGGGCAGGACAGAAACTCAGCAAGAAGTTGGTCTTTTTATTTTTGGTTTCTTTAAAAAGGGGTGGCAGGCCTACACATAAGTTTCTTTTATTTTATTGATGAGGCAGCAAAGCCACCTTCAATTCCAGGAGATAGTTTAAAATCCTGCTCAAACTGTAGGATTGCAGGCCGAACCCTCGCCTGTCCCCCCACAACACAAATCTTCTCCATTTGTACTCTTCGGACATCCTTGTTGTGGGTTTCTGAGAGGCAAAAAGTTCCCTACTGCAGGATTAGCCAAGAGGCTAGGCGCAAGGGTCCCGCAGTACTATATGTCACCCGCTGGGCTAGTTTCCACAGAGTGGGGAACCATGCCCTGGTGGGCCAGAAGGATGCAGGAGGCACCGTCTGCTTATATTTTCACAACTACCTCGTGCAGAATACCAAAGGGGGGAAATATAAAAAAAGATGGGCCGTGCGATTGCCACTGGAAGGCATCCCCCAGGGAACCCGTGCCTCTGACTGCTCTGGAACAGAGGAGGTGGAATTTGTTGTCTGCTGACACAAAGAGGTCTATTTCAGGAACGCCCCATTCTTTGAAACTGGAGCCAGGGGGTGGTTTGATATGTACCACTCTTGAGCTATGT